ATGATGGAAATGAAACACTTCATTTTCTTAATTGAATTTGCAAGTTATAGAATGTATAAAGACTTAGACAAAAAGATCAAAAGGGGTGACATGTGTCATATGTAGTAGTGAGTAACTTGTGATGACATGTGTCATGGAAAATTATGGTTTGTGTTTTTAAATACTAAGTATAGATATAGATTTCTATCTCCCACTAACCCCACTTTCACAAATATTTTATTATTTCTCTTTCCAACCAACCCTACTAATACTACCTTTTTAATTATTTTTATCTCTTACTAACAATACTTTATATTATAAGGCTAGAAACTTAGTTTATAATTTTCTTAAACTATGAGTCAAACCTACTGCTACAACTAATGCTTTTTTCTACCGTCTTTTAAACTTTTGTCTATAGTTATACTTTTCACTTTTATTAATGTAATTATTCACTTTCTTTTCTTATTTTTTAAATACCATGAAAAAACATAAACAAGAACTATATTATGGGATGGAGTGAGTATTTATTAACAAGTAGATGTTAGAGATAACATTTACTCCATATTGTACTTTTTTTAAAGGGATTTAGGCATGTTTCCTTTAGCTTAACTTCAGTTTAGTTCATAATTTCTTTCTCTCATGAACAATTCATTTCAGCTCTATTCACACCAATTCAGTTCAATTCAGCCCAGTTTAGTAAATCAAAAGGGACTTTTACTTCATATTCTATAATTCGTCCAAAACCTTCAATAAATTTCTATTGTATATAGAAAGTTGTACGCCATGACATGAGTATAATTGTGTACACTTGTATAATGAGAAAAAAATAGCAGCAAGTTTGTGGGGTAATTGATGGGATAAGAATTTACAATTTTTCATGTCCATTTCCTACCAATCGAACAAGGCCTTAGTTGTTGTTGTCATTTTTTTTGTTTTAATTTTGAATAGTTGTACTCCCTCCATCCCAAAAAGAACGACCTATTTGGTCAAATTTTTGTTCCAAACAAATGACCCATTTGTTTTTTCCAACATCTATTAAATTCACAAAATTATCAATATAGCCTCAAATATTTTTGTCATCTAGCTCCTTCTTCCAATTCTACCCTTCTATTTTTTCAGATATTTGTGTTATCTCATTTCTAAATTTTTACACTTTTTTCCTCTCTCCTCCCACAATTAATATTTTTTACCCCTCTTTCTATCTCTTCATTTTTTCTCCCTCTTATGCATTTATTGCAAATTATTGCCTACTTATGTTTTCCAATGCATTTGTACTTCCAAATAAGTTTCTTAATACCCGTGTAAACCTCCTAAATGGGTCGTTCTTTTTGGAACGGAGGGAGTACTCCATAGTAACTAGTTGGTGAGTGTAGATACTACAATATTTATTAACAACTTAACAAGTACTTGCTCTATTCTTTTTTACTAGACTTATTTTATCACGCTTGTCAATATAAAACTTTAAAAATTAATGACTTTAATTCTACTTAAATAAAAATTATAAAAATTATATTTTACTTCGTATAATTGTATTTATTGAGACGAATTTAAAAAGATCTTAAAAAATGTGTTTTTCCTTACATATTATTTACAACATACGGTCAACAAAAGAATGATGAAATGATAAATAGTACTACCTCCGTTACACATTATTTGCAACGATTTGACATAAAGTAGAGAAGAAAAATGTCTAATCGTTGCAAATAATGTATAATGGAGGTAGTATAAAAGTTAAAACGGGTCAAATAAAAAAGAATGGAGAAAGTAGGTGTTAGAGATAACATTTACTCCATATATATATATTGTTTTTCATCCAAAACCTTTGAATAAATTTCTACGAGTTTATAGAAAGCTGTATGAGCCATGACATACTAAGTACGAACTTGTTACAATTTACAATTATACCAGCAGCAAGTTTGTGGGATAATTGATGGGATAAGAATTTACCATTTCTCATTTGTACGGAGTATCATTGTATGGGATTATAAATTTGTACTTCTTCCAAGTTCCAAGCTTCCATCTCTTAAAATTCTCCATTATATTTTTTGGGGTGAAAAAAAATAAAAAAAATAAAAAACCTCTGGACTTCTGGCTAATTTATATTTCCTCCGGCTTTAAAATTCGACCCTTTTAGCCCAATTTTAGTCAAAAAATGAACCCATTTGCATTAAAATACCCACTAATTTACAACAATATTTGTGCAAAATTAGCTCTAAATGTTTGTTCCATTTCATATTTTCATAATAATTAAGATACATAAAAAGGCTTTTATACCCTTATTTTTTTTGTCCTTATTAAGTCCTCTTCCTATTTTACCCAAACATTTGTCATAAAAATTGTGCCAACTTTTGACTAATTTAATGTTTTACACTCTTGAATCTCTCAATTTTTTTTTTAATTGAAAATATATATTTTCCATGTACTTTAATTAATTTTTTAATTGAAAATGTCTCTTTCTAGGTACTTTAATTACTTTTTTTTACTTGGAAATATCTCTTTCTCATGAGCTTTAAATATTTTTTTAATTGAAAATGTCTCTTTCCCTTGTATTTTTATTACTTTTATTGGTTGAGAATTTCACTTTTCTATATACTTTCATTACTTCACATTTTTCATCCCGTGATTTTCCTTGAAAATTGACAAACAAAACTTTGTATATTCATCTGGCTTATGTCTTGTGTAGATTACTGCTTCTACACTATCACTTGTTATAATCCCATTCATTTTACTGCCTCTGTTACATATTATTTACAACGATTTGACATAAAGTAGAAAAGGAAAATGTGTAATCGTTGCAAATAATATGTATCGGAGGTAGTATATCGTTGTATACTTGTATATATGCATTTTCTTTTTACAATTGTAAGCTTGTTTAAAGCAATTACTATTATAAATGAAATGTTAATACTCAAGCTTTCTCCAAACATATAAAACATCATCCTTGACTTCTTTATCTAGCTCAGATACCAACTGCCTATAGCTTGGCTTTGTCTCATGTGTCTTTCTATCCAGAACATCCAAGCAATTGCAAAGAGGCATAGCTCCACGCTCAACTCTGCTATAAATACATCATTGAAAAATTTACTTTAATGAATATATAGCCAATTTGTTCAATTAATTAGAATAAGCAGGTTTTTGATGCTTGTCTCTTGTTTATCCTAATAAACATATGTTTCCTTGATTTGCTGAAAATATCTGGACGTATGAAGTTTCAATTCTGTGATTTTTCTTTGTGATTAGAATATCATACCTCTTCATTTGCTCTAGCAAACTCACCTTAGCTCTCCTTTTTTCCCGTTCACCTGGCCTAAAATCTTCTATTCTAGTAATCAATAATTCAGTAGTATCTTTTTCTAATACTACCTCCGGTCTAAATTACTCGCAACTTTGAAATATTTTATATAAGTTGCGAGTAATTTGAACCAAAGGTAGTATAATTTTTTTTAAGCCTATGGCTATCTAAGTCACTGAGTGCACACCCAAACATTCTTTTTTGAATAGATGTTATCCAATCTCTTATTACGAGTGAGGAGAAGAAACTTCGAGCAATTGCGTATGTATGTGCATTCAAGGTGGAAGATGCTTTCCCACCGGTTCTTATACTGAAAGCCCATTTGGATTTCATCCAGAAGAGAATGCAGGAAATGCTCAAGAATGGCAGTGATACAACTCAGGTATTGTTAAATTCCTTCTATTTCTATATTTGTGTTCTTCCTTTATTGCCTCTTTTTATTTGAAAATATTATTCATAACAGAACATTACGTAGAAGTTCTGGAGTTTTATACTTTGTTTGGATAGAAGGAAATAATAAAAAAAAAAATAGAAAAAGAAAGAAACAAACTCTCTTGTTTGGGTAAAGGATTGGGGGAAATATGGGAAAGGAGAGGGAGGGATCCAATTTCCCTCTGTTTAATACGCATAATCCCTTGAAAATTGGAGAGGTTTGGAGGGAAAATGGAGCTCACCTCCCCCTCCCTTTTGATTTCCTTTCCCTTCCTCCCCTTCTTATTTGCTATCCAAACAAACAATTAAGGTTTCATTATGCTTTATCTTATACTCGTAACTCCTAGAAGGAACACAAGCCATTGTTTATCTCGTTGTTGTGTTGTGTACTTTGTATATGTATTTATCTTGAACCAAAGGTAATGAAATAATAGTTTGAGGCGATGTCGAATGGGATATGCTCTGAGGTCCCAGGTGGTCAAATTTCAGTTGTTCAGTTAAGCTGTTCAGCTTCTAATTTCCCTCTCTCATAAGTTCAGCTCCAATATGTTCAGTTCAATAAATGTAAAAGGCCCTATAGCTCAAAGAATACTAGACTCCTACTGGTAAAACTTACCTAAAGAAATGTAATTAATTGTGGTCTGGTGGGTAACTTAACACAATAAGCTTCCTAGTTCCTACAAGTAAAGCTTACCTAAATTCTGTAAATGTAATAAATTCGTCATAAACAAAAACCCAAAAAAATTTACTTCCTCCGTTTTCTTTTAGATGCAACACACCCTTTAGTGCGGTAATTAAGAAAAGTGGGGTTTACATAATATAATAAACTTTAAAATAGGATGAGTGGTTGTTAGGAGTGTATTTTAGTAGGCCATCATGTGCTTTAATTTAAATAAGGGAAATAGAATAGTTTTTTCTAAAGTAACTTTCCTTTTATAGTGTGTTGATAGTATTGTGACATTTTATTTTTAGGGAAGTGTTACAAGTGAAAGAAAACAGAGAAAGTAATTAATTCACTGCCCATAACAGGAAACTTTGAGACTAAGGACCAGGACCTCTTGCTTTTTCCTTGTTAGTTTTCAAGGAAAATTTAAAACAAAGAAATAAAGAGAGAGCTACAAAGTGTAAACCTAAGAGTCCTTAGAACGACTTTTATGAGGAAAATGGAGGGTAATATATAATAGAAATAAGCTTCTAATTTAGAGACGGAAAGAGTACACATATTTTTCGATACAAAATTAAATCTCTTAGCTAGGGCACTTTACTGTCTTCTTATTCTTTAATTTCATAGTGATCTTCATTCATTCCCATCAGATAGGGTCGTTCCAAAAGGAGAAATAAGACTCTCTGCATATCCCCAAGCCCCTCCAATAAAATTTTGAGCGTGAATAGATCGAATACCAGTACTTTCTTCTTCTTGATCCAGAGCTACATGACTAGGATCGTGCAGCATAAGCAGATTGAGGGTGTTTTCAAGCACTAAATAATTACCTGTCTCAAATAACCAAAGGAACTCCACATTCCCAAGATTAAAAGACGATACCTTTACCCAAGATTTCCAATCATGTTGATGTTTCAACATCCAAACATCAGTACAGTAACGCAACTGGAATTGTCACCCTTCATGTACTTGTAACAGCACATCGACAAACACCCATTCAACCGAAATACTCTAACATCCTCAGCATACCCAACAAGCAAATTCATTAATGGGAACTTTTTCATTTCCCCATTAACTAAATTCAACCCAGCTATGTGAGCTTCCTCGCCCCCCAAAAGGGAAAGTTTGACTGGAGTCCAATATAGAGTATCATCAACCACTACCCCTCGGTCCCCGTCAGAACCAATCCTGAAGCCGTAATTCTCATTGCTCGCATCAATGCTAGGCATCTCTATCCATTTCCTGTAATCATCAATGGAAGATACATAACCGAATACCATACCTGTAATTTCATCGGGAAGGTTACAATGAATAAGATCAAAATCAGGAAAAGAAACATCATGACATTGATTTGTTGATGGATTCCATATATACAAGGTATAATCTACTCCAAACAAGCCAACTAGCCCATTGGAAGAACCGATGACATAAGATTCTAGACCCCGTTGAGAAGGATAATATGAGATGAGATTGGAATCTTTGAAATTGTTGCATTCATCAAAAGATAAAACACTGGATCCTTCATAAAGATAGAGGCCATGAATTAGGAGAGCTTGAAGGCGGGATGAGGAGAATTTAAGGTGGGTTTGTACGAATTTGTGACTTGAAATAGTGGAAAGCCATAATTTGGAAACGGATTTGAAGCGAAGTAAGGATTTAACAGGGAGTTTTGGGAGGATTTTTTCGAAAATCAGATGGTCGGGAAGAGTATTGTTCATTTTGGCAAGCGTGTTCAAGCGATGGAAGCTTTTTATTTATAAAGGGTTATTCAGGCTACTAAACTTGTTAGAATGTAACGAGTCAAAACCGTGCTTATAAAGGGGTAGTACACGCCTACTCGGAAACTGGTAAGACCTTGTAATTTATTGTAGCTTTTTTTTTTTTTTTTTGAGGTGAGAATTTATTATGGCTTTTGGAGTGACCTAAGGAGATAGAAAATCAAGAATAAAATTTAATTTACCCACTACTTTTTTCATAAAATTTGTTATATACACCTGAATGTACCCTACATCAAACTAACCCAAGGTTAATATTTACTCATCATTTGACGATGAAATGTAAAATAATCATTCAATTGAGAACAAAATATTCATGGGTGTATAATACACCCGAATATATATAACACTGTCTACTTTTTTCGTATTTTATTATTTGTCCCCTTTTTTTTTACAGAGCCAACTCAACAAAAATAATGGAGTCTAATAATCAAGCACAATTTTAAGTAACCCTTAATTTCAAGTAACCCATAACTTCAAGTAGTAACTCTTAGGGGGCGTTTGGTATCAACTTAGTAAAGGTAACGGAATGGAAACAAATTAAGAAGAGAAAGGGTAATATATAGTGTTACCCTTACTAGTTGTTTGGTATTACTAAGGAAACATAAACGATTACAACCAATCCGTTTCTTCTTATTTGGCATAGATAACTTGAAAACAAATTTCTATCCATTTATTTTTTTGTTGTCTTTGCTAACTTTTGCTACACATTATGCAATATAGAATACCACTAATTCAAACAAAAACGTGATGGTTGCTTAATTCAAACTTAAGCATAAATACTACAGCCAGAAATCCCCAACAAAAGGGAAATAGCTTATATTAATCAACAACGATTTTTTTAAATAGAAATCTATAATTCAAAACCTTAATCAGAAAAATTAATTAATGTTATCAAATGAGTTCACGTATACTTCATAATTCACCCCACCCAATTTTCCCTGAAATTAGCGAATAATAACTTAATTAAACTGAAAATAATAAAAATCAGAATAATACAACCACATATCAATCAATATATACCATCAAATTGGGGGAAAACACAAAAATAGCCAACAATTACATGCAATAATAGCATGTCTAAGTTGAGAATTCTGTAAATTCGTTGTAGAATTCTGTAAATTTTAGGTGGAAAACTGAAAATTACAAGAATTTATCATACTTGAGATTGTAGAATTCTGTAAATTTTAGGTAGAAAACTGAAAATTTTGGAGTGAAATCAGGAGAATTGCAGTTTTCTTAGGAGAATTTTCAGAAAAATTATCGAAGTTGAGAATTTTCACTAGAAGGGTTGAACAAGAGGAGAGAGAAAAGTTGTTTCCCTTTATTTTACTTTGGAAATGTTATTTGTTTCTCCTTATTTTACTCTAGAAACAAAGTAATGGAAACGGTTAGGGCCATGAAACGGTTTTTGTTTCTTTAGCCATTAAACAAACACATTGTAAGGGAAACAGTAACCGATTCCGTTTCCAACTCTACCAAAAATCCATACCAAACACCCCCTTAATTTCAACTTTTTAAGTAATTCATATCATAAGTAACTTCTAAGTCCTAATTTCAAGTAATTCCTATTTAAAGTAACCCCTAATTTCAAATAACCCAAAATTTCAAGTAACCCCTAATTTTAAGTAACCCACTTTATTACTTACCCAAAATAAAAGACAAAAACAGGTAACCCATATTATAATTAACTTCTAATTTTAAGAAACTCCAACTCCAACCCTACCAAAAACCCAGAAACCCAACAAAATGACAAAGAAATGTGATTCATCTTTTTCTTTTCCAATGGATTTCCTTCGAAGCTGTTTCATTGTCGGCGAAGAAGACAACAAAGACGAACAACCCTAACCCCACCAAACTTGCAAAAAACGACAAAGAAAAGCGACAATTTGGTCTCTAAACTCGAAAATAGGGTTAAGGTTTTATATTGATAAGGAGGATTTAGAGGAGAGAAGGTGTAACACCCCGACCCCAAACAAATTAGGGAGGACCCTATTATGACAAAATGCGCATCAAGGACCAACAATTGTCCCGACAGATCAACACAAGTCCTTCCATCTTGTCCTTACTCATGCGTACCATGAGAAAACTTCCCAAGAGGTCACCCATCCCAAATTCCCAAGATTACTCTCAACCAAGCATGCTTAACTGTATAGTATCTTAGCATATGAGCTCCTTAAAAGGAAGATGCGTCTGGTTGATATAAGTAGTATATTAAATCTTTTTAAAGCAATCATAAGGGGTATTACAGAAGGAGTTGCAGAGAAAAGAAAGTGATGAGTGAGAATGATGATGATGATTGGGGAAGATGAAGAAGAAGAGTGAATATGTTTGTTGCCATTGTTGGAAGGTAGGAGAGAGAAAAGCAAGAGAAAGAAGTGTAATATAGTGAGGAGTGAGAAGTGGGAAAAATATGAATACAAAATATTTTCACATAATTGCAAAAATAAAAAAAAGTAGAGGAAAAATAATTTGTTTGCAAGATTCTGAGCTTAATTGGATTAGTGATGATATAATTTTGAAAAGGATGGCTATGGAATTTTATAAGGATATTTTTCAATCCAAATTAAGCAATAGAGGTGGATCAGGCTCTTTTAATCCCATTAATAAATTAACTGACGATCAATACTCCTTTTTGGAATGCTACAAGCCTACTATAGAAGAGGTTAAAGTCAGTTTGTTTAGCATGGAACCCTTAAAATGTCCAGGGCCAGATGGAATACAACCAAGATTCTTTCAAGCCTTTTGGGAGTCTATGGGAACTATTCTTCACAAGTTCTGTGAGGATAGTTTTGTTAATTGTGCTTTTAATCCGGAAATTAACAGGTCTTATATTTCTTTGATTCCAAAGTTTGATAACCCTGTTAATCTTTCTCAGTTTAGGCCTATAGGGCTATGTAATACTATATATAAATTGATTACTAAGCTGATTTCTTCAAAGCTTAAATCTTTTTTGAACCTCTTAATAAGTCCTTTACAGTCCAGTTTTATACAGGGGAGAGGGATAGAAGACAGTGTTATTATTATTAAGGAGATGGCTCATATTTTTAATAAGGCAAAAAAAGGAAAAAATATAATGGCTTTGAAGTTGGACTTAACTAAGGCTTATGATAGTTTAGAATGGAATTTTATAGAGGAGACACTAATTGGTTTTCATTTTCCTCCTAATTTTGTCAAGCTCATCATGTACTGTATTACTACCCCTCAAATTTCAGTTTTGTGGAATGGGGAAATAACTACAGAATTTAGGCCTTCAAGGGGAATAAGACAGAGTGATCCAATGTCATCTTACATTTTTGTTCTTTGCCTTGAACGCTTATCTTTAATGATCGAGGAAAAGGTGAATCAAAGGTTATGGAAGCCTATTAAGGTAACAAATTCAATTCATCTATCCCATATTTTCTATGCTGATGATGTTTTTATGTTTGGGCATGCTTCTAAGTCCAATATAAAAATCATCATGGATGTTTTAAATGATTTTGGGAATGTTTCAGGGCTAAGAGTTAATCAAGCCAAATCTTCAGTGATTTTTCCAAAGAAGATGTGTTATAATATTAGAAAGGATTTAACACATGAATTTCAATATTCTGTTTCTACTTCTTTTGGGAAATATCTTGGGGTGGAAATTAATCCTAATAAGCTAAAAAAAGTGATTATTTTGGCCTGCTTGATAAAACTTTTGATAGAATAAAGGGATGGCAATCTAAGTTACTTAACTTAGCAGGAAGATGCACTCTTGTTAAATCTATTTTATCTTCCTTTCCTGTATATTTGATGCAAACTAGTATGTTGCCTCTCTCAGTTTGTGAGGATATAGAAAGGCATTGTCGAAAGTTCTTATGGAATAAAGTTGACAGAACTAAATACACCTCTAGGCTTGGATGGAATCATGTTACTAAACCAATGGAGATAGGAGGGCTTGGGATTAGAAGATTAAAATTATGGAACGTTGCATTTATGGCAAAGTTAGGATGGACTATGTTAACTAACCCTACAAAGCTTTGGGTTAGGATTTTAAATGAGAAATATTTAAGGCATAGTGCTCTTTTTGATTGTAATGCAAATGCTTCTCAATCACAAATTTGGAAGGATATTTTGAAAGGAAGAGGGTTATTGGCCTCGGGCTTAAGGATAGGTATTGGAAATGGGAAATCAACTTCTCTTTGGTTTCATCATTGGGTGGGTAAAGCTCCCTTATATACTATTATGAATGTTGAAGTTCCTAACTCAAAAGGACATTGGAGTGTGGCCCATATAATCAGAAATGGATGTTGGTATTTGGAAGACATTGAGCATCTTTTACCCTCTTATATTGTTCCTTTGATTAAAGCTACTCCTTTTTCTAAAATACATGACTTGGAGGATTTTATTACTTGGGATCTATTCTATTTTGCAGATGGAAGATAAGAAAAACAAAGGGAAAGCTAAGGTTGGATGTATTTCTAGCCCAAACTGGGAAGCTCCTAAGGAGGGTTACATAAAAATCAATACTGATGGAGCATGGATGAATTCTGCAGTCTCTTCGGGTGGTGGTGTTTTGAGGCGTTCTGATGGAACTTGGTATGTGGGATTTTCGTGTAAGTACTCAGCAGTTTCCCCTCTTGCAGCAGAGTTATATGCCTTGAACGATGGCCTATCAATTGCGGTTGATTTAAGGATAAAGAAAGTTGAAATCGAAACTGATGCTGAGTCTTTAAGAACCATGCTTCTTACAACAGGTGCCAATCCTCACCATGAACTGGCAGCTGTTGTGTGTGATGTAGTTGCAGTCCTTAGCCGTTTCGAGGTTGCAATTATTTCACATGTTCCACGTGAGAAGAATGTTTTGGCTCACAAGCTTGCGGCTTTTGGCAAAGAAATGGCAGTGGGATACAAAACTCACTACCTAGTTTCAGATTGTGTTCGTGCAATTTATGAAGCTGATTTGGCTCATGTTAACGCTG